AAAAATGAATAGGAAAGAGGAATGCATCGCCGTAACAAAAGAACTCGCGCCGCTCCCGAACTTATGCGGGTTTTGACCTACACCCTCGCAATTAAACCTCTCCAATAACTCATTAGTCACTAACGTTGCGCCTACGGTGGTTGTGGTTGATCTTCTCAACGTCATAAGGTGAGTCTTTCATAGGCTCTGAAGTCAACACTTCTTCAATTTCATGAGTTTCTCCTGCAAGCGATGAAAACGTTTGAGAGGGTACATCTCATTTGTTCCTCACTTTCCTGGCTCTGACGAAGGCAACAAGCCGAAACCTAAGCCTAGTAAAATTAAACCAATATCGCTTACGGCTCAACGCTCAAAGAAGAATATAACGATGCTAAGATTCATCGAAAGTCAAACATGGAATATTATGGAACGTGTCCCTTCTATTTTAACCAAATTTGTAATTTTACAGCATTGGATTGATGACTGCTGAGTATGTGAGAGGCAGAACTGAGCAAGCTCGAATGTACCGAAGAAATATCGTGCGATACTGTGAATTAGCACAGGTTCTAGTTTTTAGAGATGTTAGCATGAGGACCAGAAGGCGTTTTCCCACGTTGGATACTGTTGTTGCTGCAGGTGGGGGTTGGAATCTGATTAGTTTACCTTTTAATTCTGAGCTTCTATGAGATTGCAGAATAAACTTTGACAAGTATAATTCATGATTTATCTGGATCACGAAATTTTGCATAATGTATTTGCTTTAGATTGATTTTGTTTCGAATTTGAGAAATAAAGAACATCTCCCCTACCACGACTGATTTTCAGGTCAAAGTTTACTCTTAGATGTTGAGCTGGTAAGAATCAGTTGTGGTAGAGGAAGTATGTATAAATTAAGACTGTTTTATTAGATTTTTGATTATTACTGATCCATCTTAAAAACTAAAATGTAGGTTTCATGATGCCTCATGAGAAGGAACGGTTTGATGAGATACAGTACCGCTACTCGAAGTACTGGCTACCCTTCCAATGGGCCCTTGCTCTCACATATGACGCTCGGAAGCAGGGATTGATCGAAAGTGACTACTACCAAGTAGTCGTGCAAGAGGTTTTACACAATATCATATATTATCCATTAAAATCTATCATCTGCTATCGAAGATTTTCAGGAAATTAAGAAGTTCCGTACGGGATTAGCATGGATATG